AAGAAAAAACATATACAAAAATTAAAACAATTGTATTACAAATAAACATAAGTTTAACAAATGGAAAAATAAATAAAATATAGTTAAACTGTGTAGTTGTTAATTCCTGCTTGTCAAAATGAATTACACAAATAGTGAAATGTGCGATATGCATTTTCTTTATGGCCTTGCCAACGGTAATGCATTAGCCGCCAGACGCCTCTATGAGCAGAAATACCCAAATCGTATAATTCCTCATCATACTATCTTCATCAACGTCTTAGTGAAACTGGTAGTTTTCGAAAACTTACCGCAGGAAACAGGCGACCCCGCACAGCAATAACCCTACAATTGGAGGTAGATGTACTTCATGAAATTGAGGACACTCCAACAAAAAGTACCAGACAGATTGCTAGAAACTTAAATGCAAGTCGTTCTACAATTTTCAGGATTTTAAAAAATATTCTTCTGCACCCTTATCACATCCAACGGGTTCAGGCACTGAATGTATGGGTCGGAATTGTGGGAGACCACTTAATAGGCCTCATTTTTTTACCACCCAGGCTTACTGGATATGTTTACCCTGACATTTTTCGCAATATTAATGGGACACCCTGTATATTTTGTATCACAAAATATTCGTATATTGTTTAAATTTATACAAAAGCATTATAATTAATAAGGTAGGTATTTGCCATATTAAATGATTATTAATTTACAACCTAAAGTATTTAATGTTTTAGTTCAGGGGACCTTGTTAAAGCGACGGCAGGGATTATAGGAAAAATCTTTTTTTGATATTTCCTTCAACTTCATTTTCTTTGAATTGTTGTATCATCCGCAAAATTGAAATAGTTTATCTAGTACATGTACATATTAAATAGTATTGGGCCCAAGACCGTTCCCTGCGGAATACCGTACTTTACTGTATTATATTCATTATACAAAGTGGCCCATTTAAGATAATCCACCTGAGATATTTTCAATGTAATAGGTTTTTCCGGAAAACCCTGAAACAGGTCGATTTTGCTTGTTTGATCATAAATTCATGGATGTCATCCCTTTAAACGAAGTGGCAATCCCTTCAAGAATCTTAAATGACGTGGGGGGATTAAGTGGCACATTATTTTAAAGGTATATTTCAATTCTCATTACAAACATGCTGAATTTTCTAAGGTACCTATTAACAAAAATAAATTGTAATTTTAATTTTTCATGATACAATTAAGTATGGAGGTATTGACGTATCTGAAAAAAGTGCATAGCACACTGAATATATCAATATTCAGTGAAATTTATTGTAGATTTCAAAAATTGATGTACACTTTGTTATACAGGGTTGGAAAATCCACATGGTCCATCTGCCTTTACATGAGAGCGACAAAGTAAAGTAAAGAAATCCGTGCGATAGACAAGGATGGCTATAGTGAAGACGTTTCATAATCTGAATCAGTTACCGCCCGTTTCGGGTTAGAAGTGTTCAGATTATGAAACGTCTTCAATGAAACTATCCTTGTCTATCGCACAGATTTCTATGACTTACTTTATCGCTGTCACGTAACGGCCAATGTACCATGGGGACTTTCCGAACCTGTATACATATAGGCAATATAAATGTCAGAATTGGAAAACGCCCTGTACCCATCTTTTAAACAATCAAGATATCAAGACGCAGTTTCAAGTTTTCTCGAAAATCGGACCTGTAAGATTTAAACTACCTGCTTTTGTCTATTAAGTATCGAAATTGAAACATTCTGTACATTCTTTAGATATTAAAACTTATAAATAGACTTACATCCAGGAAAAGGAACAAGTATATATTTATAGAGGACATCCATTGATAAATTCTCAAATATGGTTTATCTATTTTGATTTAAACCACAAATAGATTGTTCCTCTTTTAAATTTCCTTCACAATACACTGAGAAAAATCGATTTATTAAAGTGCACTACAGAAAACAGTTTAATAAAAGTATTTTTTTTTCTAATTATGTATAATAATGAAATACAGCCAACGCTTTGCTTTGATTACTGGTTTTAACAACTGCTATCAATATTAATTACAGTCCGTACAATATTTGTACGGTATTTGAGATAGAATTCCAAGAAAATTATCGGAACTACCGTAACAATTTACTGCGGTAGGGGCGTGCCTTGAAATTTTCCGCTAATGTCTTTCTACCTCGGGTGTCTAATGCGGTTAATTCCAAGAAAATGATGCAGGGGTCTTCTTGGAATTCTATCTCAACGAATATCGTATGGACTATACAGCAGTTAACGAACGTCTACATGTATCTTCTTTACCTTTCTGTCTAGGACAAAAATAGTAAACATCAAAGTTTTAGGAATTTTTTTGCTATTTAGAAAAATATATTTATTTACTGATTCTCTACAATGGATTCAATCAACAATGACATGAAGTTAACGCATATTTATGTTTTTTCACTGTTAAAGTTACTAAACAGATCTGTAGATATTTTATTAATAAGAAGATATTATACCACAAAAGGTGTTTCATAATAACCCAAATGACATTTTGTAAAATAAATTTCTCTTAAGAAGGGATGATTTTATGATCTGCAAGAAGTCCTAATTTGGCTTCCGCGTAGTTATTTCAAGGGGTATTCTGAAGATAAACTAAACAGAAACATAGCCCGATTTAACGATTCATATGATCTAGGGCAGAAAATATTGGACAAAGTTAGTACTGTCCATAAGGTGGATAACAGGACGTTACAAAAAAAAACTTTCTTGGAATGTATATGTCCTTTGTTAAGAACGGAAAGGTATTGTAAAATATCATGTATAAGATTTTGTTTCTTAATAAAGAATTTAAAGATTTGTTTAATAAATTTAACATCAGTGATTCCATGACAATCTTGACTGTATGCAGAATCAGTAAATATATAAAAATATTGTGCAAACTATCAAAACAAATATATTATTATGTATCACTGCAATCAGAAAGAAAAATTCAAAAAGCGATAAATGTTTAGGGTGCTCTATTGAAAGAAAAAACATTATATATCTTTGAAATACAAGAATCAACTGTTTTTTTTATATATATATTTCTTTCGAATCGCAAAAAGTATAACTTTTCTATATCATTTTCTTCTAAATAAAATAATAAAATGTGGTCGATCCCGTACATTTTATATTTTCGATAACTGTTCTATATTTTTCAAAAATTTTAATTTTCTGTTAATATCTAAAACTACTCCGGTCTTCAGTATCAAATATCCTACTTTATTATGTGTTTTTTATCTAATTAAATATTATCAAATAGATCAATTGCATTAATTATATATAATTTCACAATGATAGATTTTCCAAAACATGTTTATTATTCTCAACACCTTAATCTGAATGTACAGATAAAGATTCTAATAGTTTGTACTAATTATTATTTTGTTAGATTATCTTCAGAAATTTGATTAAATTAGTAAAACTGACAGATAAATAAATATGAACCTGTTTATTACATTTTTTTTTCACTGCTGTTTTAATAGTAGAATAAAAAATTTGATAAGTATCTTATGATCTTTCATGTCAAAATTATTTTCTGGTATCACATTATAGATACAGTAATATTTTCTTGGTACACCTTGTAAATAAAAATATGATTGGTATTTTTATTTCTAAAAAGGAATAATTGGAAGATAATATCTGTTTTAGATTTAGATGTTCTATTTTTAACTATAAAAAATCTTCGATAAGGAAGATTGATTTAATTCTTAAAATCTTGGTTTTAGTAAAAAATATTTTTAAAATCTGTTATCTCTAGAATCTGTAAATTTACCTTAATGCATATACAAAACAAGTTTAAAATAGCTCAGTCTTAGATATCATTCGAAGAATAATGATAATATTCTTTGGTTGTTGGAAAATACCTATAGTCTTTGA